AAACAGGAGGACGTATCCACTGAAACAAGGAAGGAATGCTCATTTGCTTGATAGCCCACTTTGCACAAATTGGCCTGACTACTGTTGTTTCATGTCTTCTTTGGCAATATAGGTAACCTACATTTCCATTCCAACAAAGTGTAGTAAATGGAGTAGATGTAAGGCAACGCATAGCGGTGTCACAACATCCGTCATGGTAATGTGATCAAACTGACTGATTGTTTACGAATACATTATTCTCACGAACGTTGGTCGTAGTCCCTACTTGCAATGTAATTGCTGCATTCCTAGATGTATTTATTTGTAGTTTCTGCATTCCTATTACAGTTAACGAATGATCTGTTTCAGAGTAGTTTCTATGTCTGACGACCTCCAGTGGCGGATTTAAAAACTGCTCTTCGGTGTCAGCAGGAAGAAATTCTGGCTGCAATCTCTTCTCTAAACGTCAGTCTAAAACGGCAACCTTTTTATAAAGATGTGTCGAAAAAGGTGACATATAAATAATTATCTATAAAGTGTTTATAGACATAGAGTTGGAAATTTGTCTTATCTATTGTGTCAATTTCTGTACAATTAATTGTGTACACCAGAAAGTTGTTGACTAGACAGATGTTGGAGGAGGTGCTTACATGATGGCCAAATGTGATGTGGTTTTTCTGCTCAGGGCACTGTTGCCATTGTCGAAAATGCAAATGTAAAGGTCTCTAACGCCATACCTAAACCACATGATCAGTGGATGATAAGGTCAGATTTGAGAGAGCGCTGTATTCATGAGTCACGGTGAAGTCAGTTCCTGTTTCAGTCACCTCTTTGGTTACATGTGTGCCAACCAGAAAGGTTTTCATGTTTGGCTGACACAAAAGGCTTCTTACTAAGTCTGCCAAGACCACCGTGGGTGGAGATCAATGGAAGAATCTTCAAGGGTTCCGAAATCACGAATTCGCTTTGGTCAGGCAAAGGTTCAACCAGTCACTTCATTCCCTTAGTATGTGTGCGATAGTGACCACCTGATTGGATTATCAGGAGTGATCAGCCAATGAAGTTTGAAGTCCCACCCTTTTGACAGTATTAAGTTAGTAGGTGCCTAATTGAATTAAAATGGATCGCTTCAATTTGGAGATTTGGCTAATGTTTTTATTTGATAAACTAAATGCACCATAGACACAATCCCATCTTCATGTTTTCTTTGACTGTATATTTCAATAACGTTATTTAAAGAGAGCCTGGAGTATGAAAAATAGAACAATGGGAATACATTGGTCCTGAGAACGAGGGCAGATAATATAGACGACTATCTACTACATTTGTGTGGGGAGTATTTCTGGACTGGCTGTGACTTAATATAAGGAATTTCAGAAGTGTGTGAATGCTAAGGTGAGCTGCGTTGTCTTAGCCAAACACATCTGTTCTGACTTTGGGGCCAAATTCCCTCCAAATTGATTTGGGCTACACACCAGTACCATTGGAGGGTTTCCTTGAATGCTGTTGGTGGGTTACTTGTAAAACGCAGCACGAGTTGTCAGGGACAGGCCCCAGGGGCGGGCAACTGCTGTGTGACTATCGTCAGCAACACAACATATTCAAATGAAGTAACATGACTAGTGGGCTTGTTTTAAAAGCATAGCCCTACTTTTCAGTCGCGTGATCTTAGTCATGGATAAATGTGTCTACTGTGATGTTTTGTGACTGATCGTGACCATGTAAAATGTAACTAAAATCTGAGACAAATGTAGCACAGAGCTACTTTTCTTGTCATCCAAAAAACGGGGATCGGAAATAAAAAAGATAATTATGAATGCATGCTCCACTTCAAAGAATTAAATTATCAGTTTGTTTAGCTCTTTTTATTATAATCAGAATTGAAAAAAATATTTAACATGATTATTGTGTATGCAATAATGCTTCGAAATGCTTTATATTCCTGTGTCAATTGTAATTACTTTTACTGTTTTAATTTTTTAGACGTTTGTGACACAAATTTCTGTAAAGTTTTATGCATTTTGGGTTGTACAATGTTGATAGAAGCCACCTTGTTCTATTGACATTTACACAGTTATCAAAAAAATATATGGACAAAATAATGGTGTAGCCTATAAAAGCAAAGAGAAGCTCTTTTTGAGTTTTGAACACAAAGATTTATGGGGATTTCGACTCAGTCATTGAGGTCAACCTGATACCAACGGCTATACACTGTATTTCTGTTTCGGTACTTTCACTCAGCATTTCAGAGGATGTCATTTTAGTATACCGGTTTTCATCTTAGCCAAGTAGTTTCTGCAGGTTGTATTTTATGTAGATCTAGCAAATTTGTCAAAAGACTAAAGTTCAAATTTACACATTCTCGCACTCATATTTTCACGTAACGTTTTCTTTGCGTCGTTGTAAGAAAATGGTGTCAGAGCAAATGCCGACAAGATGGGCGTCTTGATCAATCGATGTTAAAAGTTGTTGAACAATAGTGAACAATCGGTACTATCTAATCTCTGCTAGATTAGATAGTGAGTGAACAATCAAATTGGATCCAGTAGAAATTGGCAGTTGTGAAGTCCTGAGCGACTTTGGCAAGGGCCAAACTGTTATGTCATGTGAAATATACGGATCCAATTTGGGATTTGTTTCTCTATTTTAAAAATATTTTATGTGATTAAAATATTAATGAAAATAACCAATTGTGTTTTGTCAAACGAAACAAGGTTAGTGTAGTTGGATGTTTTTATGCCTACTGATTGGTTTTCAGATGAATATCTTTATAGAGTTTGAAAAGCTTTTTTAGTAATAATTTACCAACTGTATATCTAGGGGCATGTCACTGTTGCACTGTTGTTTTTTGGTATGTTATAATTATTTTTTTGTACATACTATCCCTCTACCCCCTAATTCCTTTAGTTTAATTTATATTGTTCTATTCTTATGTTGCATGTAAGCACCTTCCTGCCACAGTAAATTCCTTGTCTGTTCACACATTCAATGGCGAATAAACACTTCTGATTCTGATTCTTTTCTGATAATTCAGTAGCCTACGTCAAACACTGGCAAAGGAAAATACAAACAAAGTTGCAAGTTCAGACGATATTCAGCTTTCACACCAAACATGCAGAGTTCTGAGATGAAAGTTGAAATTTAATTGGCGTCCACGGGTGGTTTATGCAGAAAGAGTTGGATATTGTCCGCATTTTATTGTTTTAATATCAATACGGAATTTCACAAAAACATTCAGGTCCAATATTAGACCTACAGTATGGTGTAGGCCTATACATTTTAATAATTGCCCTTTTCTGTCCCATAAATCATTTATAATTGACAAATTACAAAACAAATGTGGCCCTTCATTTAAGTCCCGATGTGGCCCCAAGCTGAACAATGTGCCCTCCCCTCTAAAGTCTAAAGCCTTCATGTCAACAGTGTATCAATGGTGACAATCTTAGAGTGTGCGTTTTCTCGCTATTTCAACAATCTTTTCACAACAAACGTTGTTCTTTCAGAAATTATATGCGTTCTCGTTGAGGACTGTACACTGGGTGATACAAGGGTGATACAGGCAAACCCGAGGGCTGACTTTCTGCACGTAACTGATATTGCCAAAGATGTTCTCACTCTTTTCCGTATCCAAATAAGTATTGTCTTATTTGTCCTGACCGTCATGTGTTTGTCGCTGCACGGCAGGAACCATGATGGGAGCGGGTTGCGAGGTGCTGACGACCGGCTGTGTCGGTGGACTTCCGTAATCGCACGGCTGGATGCTGTTGGATTTGTGGTCTATTTCCATATGCCGTTGGAGCCTAAACACTGCTCAGAGAGAAGCTCCAGCAACACGATGATTCTCAAGCTAAATGTCACTAAAGATAAGCTATGTCAGTTTTGGTTGGAGCTTCAAACCGTCAAATCCATTCAAGATTTTACCACGACCATTACATAATGGTGATTGCACTATTTGATTCTGTTTGCACCCCGTAAAAGTTTGCATATTATTTCCTCATGGGAAATAAGCGGTGACACAAATGTTTCTTTTGTGAATTTAATATGATTAATCCCCAAATGCATAAAAGTCCGATTTGGTCTAACGATGGTCCTTTTTATATAAAACAATAAATCTTTAACTCTGTTTTGTCTAACAATTTGGAATGGCAGGTATTATATGTCTGTATATTGAACGACACAATGCTAGGTGCAAAAAAGCGGTCAAGAATAACGTGTTCTGATTGTGTTGCTTACTGTGTACTTGAACCCTCCATGACGCAGGAAACAGAATTGAGGTGAAGATAAGGAGTGTTTTTTCATCTCTATGCAAATGTTGTAAGTTAGGGGTTGTGTTAAAAATGCCCCTCTGTGAAAACATTTGCACTTAAAGGGAGTTCTGCGTTCATACCTGGGTCTACGGACTTCAGGACCGGATGCTGTCATGAGTGAATGTAGAAATAAATGCACCGTCGGTCTTTTGCGGTTGTTCAAATTTCCTGTACTCGAGTCTTGTGGCTTTGACCCAAGTGCTGGAATCTATGTTAAGTTGTATCTAGGTCACAGTCACATACAGGGTTGATGGTATAAGCGTTGCTCACGTATTCTCATGTTAACCATTTTAATTTCTTCATTTCCTTCCATTGCACTAGTATACTACATACTGACATTTTCATATGGGGTTCTCCTGCGAGTGATCTACTGTTGTCCTCCGAGAAAAAGTGCTGCATATCCATAGGGTTCTTTTTGTCCCCGTGGAAACTATTGAAGGGTGTGGAAATATTTCAGCGCTTTAGCTCTGTATTTCTAAGAGTGAGTGCTTGCAGGGTCTTAGGGTCTGTGAAACGGAAGACCGGGTCATATTTTCCAATGTCTCTGGTAGGGAAATGCTGAATGCCGTGGGACCACAATAGCTTGAGAGTGTCATAGGGTTCAGGGGTCGTTCAGAAACACAGTTGGTGTCTGTGAGGCAAATACTGATTCTCCTTGACTACCGGTCAATTTACTACTGGGTATTTATTCCAAATTTTTTTCTATAAAGAGTGTGCTGCAGGTGGGAATCGAACCCACGCGGTAGCGATATGCGTTTGCCTGTAGACACGACCTAGAACACAGGACCACCTCAGCTACGCCACTTGCCTTGTACAACTGGTTTATGGTATCAGGTTTTTTCGTCTGTTCGTTTTTACTCTGCTTGACATGGAGTTTCAGGTGGCATGTTGACATTTCACTTTAAGTTTTGTTTATACAGATCCAACTTCCGGAAAAACGCTCTAGGATTTAATGGAAACAAGATGTTACGGGAGCAAAGAGAAATGATATCCGCCTTGGGATAATGTTTTTCATTTTGAGAGATTGCATACTTGTTTTCAGTTTACATAAAAACAATTCTAAATGTTTTTCTACTATTTTTACATGAGAGTAGGATTATGCTGAGAATTCGGCATTTATAAACTGAATACATTTAAACAAAGAAATAAAACACTATATTCTTTCAAAAATATGTGACATTAACCTTATAATGTCGCTCCATGACATGAATATGAATGGGCAAATACAATAGGGTTACGTCATCACAAAATGATTTAATGACAAACAAATGAACACACTTACGCTATACCTTTCATGTTCTAATTTCATTACTGCGATTATTAATTGTTGCTAAGAAATCTCTGGGGGTTTGTGATACACAGTCGGTGTACCACAGCTAAGGACTGTGTTGAGTTGCTGCTAGTTTTATTATGCAGAAAAACCGCACCTCCTCCTGTACATTAGCTATAATACAGCTCTTGCGATGCGGTTATCCAACTACAGATCAAAAAACAAACCACTGGATCACGAAACTGAAAGCCTCCGTTCCAAAATCACCCCCAGAATTGGTAGCTTTTTATTGCACCAGTGGATATGAAAAGTCTACACACCCCTGGTTAAAACGTCAGATTTTTGTGATGTGGAAAAAATGAGACGGATACACGAGAAAGATAAATCATGTCAGAACTTTTCCCCCCGAAAAACAAACTGAAATCTCATGCGGGATCTGATCAAGAGCTTTCGGTTTGTTTTTCAGTTGAATTGTTCAAGTTATAGGCCACATTAAAGGCGGAAAAAGTTCTGACGTCTGATTTATCTTTATCTCACTTTTTCACATCACAAAAACCTAGGGTGTGTGTAGACTTTTCATATCCACTGTGAGTTTTGTTCCCTTTTCAACTCCCAGTTAACCGTCGTCTGAGCGGCTGCACACAACTTCTACAGGACTTTAACGTCCGCTGACGACTCGCCTGAAAGTGGGACGAATCACGTATGACGACGAGATAACCAAAAGGGAGGTCAGAGACCTGTCAGTGTGGAACAACACCAACTCGGGTTGTCAACAAGACTAAAAAGCTGACGGTGGCTTACAGAAAACCAAAGGACAAGCATGCATGATTGATTGGGCAAAAATAAAGCGAACAACAGCTTCAAGATCTTCTGGGTACACATTATTGAGAGTGTGTCTTTCCCCTTAAAGTGAGAAGGTTTTACAGCTGCACTTGGCACTTTCCTTGAAAATTGTATCATGTCATGTTGTAAGTCAAGTTAGATTACATGAGACTACTCTGACTTCCCCATCAAATAATGTCAACAATATTATTTCAATTTGTATTGTGTTCAGTCACATCTGCACGTGAAACGCTTTGTTCCAATCACAGACATTGCATGTATCTGAATTTGTATATTTATTGTGCAAAGAACATGAATAGCAAGTATACAATAGATGGAAGTATGAACAAAACAATCCCAAAGCCCTCGGCTACAAGTCAATAAAACACCACGTACAGGAAACCACACTCAGTCTCATATGTGTTACGGTTGTGGTGTGGCAGGCAGCAGGTAGACACAAGCGCAGAGAATCTTCCAATATAACAGTTTTATTTACCAACAGGACAGGCAACTCCGGACTAACACCGATCACTTCGGGTATCCGCGAGAGTCAAACACGGGATCAAACTAAACAGTACTTTATACAGGGACATAAAGCAGAACCACACGAAACGTACATACCGTAACACAATACAATGCCGCAACACTGACGGACAGAAATGACAGGACTTATATACACCGACTAATGACACGAACAGACACAGGTGCGGAGAAACCACAGGTGCACTGAATAGGCACTGATTTTAAAAAAAATCTAATTTGTGAGTGTTAAAAACTATGTTTGAATTCATGGACAAAACCAAGAAACATTTCAATGTATAATTTGAACGAATATTACACTTAACTATGACTATTTGTGACAAATATTACTTAAGCTCACACCATAAAGCTGTGTTTATGTCACTTGGGATTGACCAATAAGATGACACTTCAGCTGTATCCATGTCTTTCTGTTAGAAAACTATAGCACAAAAAAGTCAAATGATTTGTAATGCAGATGTCACTGGCAAATGCAAATACGTTCATGGAAAAGTTCGGGATGCAGTGAAATTTATGTTATTGGAATTCTTTCACCATTATTACTAGGTAAGTCATGTAGCTAGAGTTGCAAAAGAACATTCATAATATTCACTCTATATACAGAAAACTAGTCAAGGCTAGAAGTCAGGTCACATTTACATAGTGAATGATGACCCATTTTCATTGTTGGACCCACTGCCCGACTTAAACGCCCCCAAATAGAGTTCAGAGGTCACGCGTGACGACCGGCCAGTAGGGTAGATGAACTTCCGGCCCAGACACCACAGGTCCTCCAGGATCGTCCTGAATTGGCTCCTGAACTTGACGCCAATGAAGGCGTACAGGATCGGGTTGAGGCAGCAGTGGAGATACGCCAGGCTCCTGGTGACGGCGAGGACGGTCAGAACCAAGCGCGCCGCGTCGCACTCCTTCTGCTGGAACAGCACCACCGTTTGGTACAGCAGAGACACGTTGTAGGGCAAGTGGCACAAGATGAAGACCACCACCACCACGAGGACCACGCGCACCGCCTTGACGGGAAGAAGAACAACAGAACAATCACTGACCCCCCCGGGGAAAGGAACCTCGTTAAAATAGTTTAGGTCTAGATCTTCGGCGGATACCGGACCTTGTGCCTCTGTGTGTTCTGGGTCTTCAGGAGGGTGCCGGCGATGACCGAGTAGCACACCACCATGACGAAGAGGGGCAGGAAGAACCCGACGGCCACCTGCAGGCTTGGCACCAGCACCTTTATCAGCTGGGCGGTGTTATCCTCGGAGAACTTGGCCTGGCACACTGTCACGCTCTCGCCCACCAGGTTGTTCTCCGTAAACTGCTCGCTGTAGATGACCGTGGGGACGGACAGGGCGACGGCCACCAACCAGACGGCCAGGCAGATGAGGCGGCTGTAGACGAGGGTCCGCGAGCGAAGGCCAAAATAGCGCCTGGCCTGGACGATGGAGAGGTAGCGGTCGCCGCTGATGCATGCTAGCAGGAGCATGCCGCAGTAGAGGTTGACACTGTAGGCGCCGCGCAGGGCCTTAGAAAAGCAAGAGGAGGAAACGTGAGTGTCCTTAGGGCGCCCACGGACCGCGTGCGTTTTCCCATTGGCGTCACACGGGGACATCGCATTTGACCGTAACGCCGCTTGACGCTGCTTACCTTACACGCCACGGTGCCCATGCTCCAGTCGTGCTGCTCGTTGTAGATGATGAGCGGGAGGGCCACGATGAACAGCAGGTCGGCCACCGCCACGTTCATCAGGTACACGTCCGTCATGGTTTTGGTTTTCTTGTAGAAGCAGTAGGTGACGACCACCAGCGCGTTGCCGCACAGTCCGAACGCGCAGATGGCGGAGTGAACGTAGGTTTGGATGATGATCTCCGTGGCGCGGTTGGGGTTCTTCTCGCATATATATTCCGTTTCGTTGTCGTCGTAGTCGTAGTTGTCAGTTGTAGTGTTGTCATAGTAGGCATCGTCGATTTCCATGCTCATCACCTTTTGAGGGGGAAAGAGACAAACGCTGATACAGTATATTTGGTATTGATTTAACATACTTCCTGTATATGGCATTATTTTGGTTTATTTTGGTCAGATATTGCGGCCTAAATCTCTTATACATACCTTTGAACCATGCACATAATTTTTATATTTCCCAGCTTGTTCTATTGGTTTGTCTACGTTCACACACGAATTGAATGATAGCTATATCGTTTGTGCCACTGAAAAGTAAATAATGTACGTTTTCTATAGGGAATCAATGTTACTTTTACATAATGGTGGTTCTGGTTAAGAGGCTTAAGGCAGTTTTATACGTTAGTCTTCACACCTCTGGCAGTCATTCTTAATAACGCAGGCTGCGGGAGAAATAACATTTGCGAGATGTTAAATGTACCAAACCTGGAGCAGCTAAACTGCAACAATTATTTCAATAACAGTCCAGGATCAATTTTAATCGGTTTTAAAACATGTATTTTAAATGTGTTCGAAAGAACACACCAATTTGCAATATATACGTACAAGCAGATATGAAATACTTCTAATAATGAACACCGGCTACAGTGAAAAGTGTTCGGATGCGTTATGCGACACGTACTTTAATGAAAAACAAAAACGCACAAGAACTTGAGTCATCCGCCTGAGTTGAATGACCCCGTTGTCTGTTGTGATCGAGGGTGCACCACGGTGGAACTGATCTACATCACTGATCAGATCTTTATCAGTCAGGGAAAGCGCTTCCTATCAAACAGCGTTTATTTTAGATGTTGACTCTGATCAACAATAATCTGACTCAACACATTGTCAGTGGAGCTAAAGGGGAAAGGGTTAGCAAATATTAACTACAATCTGGTTATATCAAGATTATCGTGACCAGAGTTTCACTTCTGCCTGACAAGAATTACTTCGACTAGGAGAAACCTTTTTATAACTGGAGATTGTCTGTGAATTGTTTTTTCTTAGCATCTATCTGTATCTTGAACGTGTTCATCATGAAATAAATTAACGCACACTCATGTGACTCAGTACATTGTACGTGGAGCTAAAGGAAAACGGTTAGCAAATCTTCAACAATTGTAAGGTATTCAGGGCTATTCTGTACTATTGCCGTGTTACCACTCATCTTACACGTTGATTTAATAATGTCCTGGCATCCCGCTAATATGTGACCCCGTCGATTGCCTCGG